ACAGACAGACAGGCAGACAGACAGACAGACAGACAGACAGACAGACAGACAGATAGATGTTATAATATTCCAATCTATTACTGTGATGTTCATTTAATTATTATTATTGTTATTATATTATTATTTTTTATCTTTTTGTACATGTATACTAAGCTTTGGCAATGTTGTATCATTTACAGTCATGCCAATAAAGCAATTTTGAATTGAATTGAATTGAATTGATATAGATAGATAGATAGATAGATAGCCTGTGTGTGAAGGCTCATAATAGCCTGCAGTCATAACACAAGTCAGTGAGGATTCACGCCTGAACGCACTGCTGTTAGTTAATATGACAGTAATGAGCTCATCTCAGCGATGTCAGGTTCGATGTTTGAGCCAAAGATCAGCGCTCAGGAATCAGCCACACATATCCACGATTAGCGACACTGACCCAGAACGACTCATATTAGACATAAGAGCTCATATTAGAGATAGGAGCAGGACAGGTCAGGAGGATCGGGGGCGGAGTCTCGTCATTGTTTCCCGCAGATAAATGATTGCGTTCATAATTTAAGAATCATCGCTCAGAGCATCCATATCAGAACTCACTCCAAGACACCGACTCAGCTGAGAGGATTTTATATGCTTGAGATTAAAATGGTAAGCTGCGTTTATGGTGATAATTAAAACTTTTTATAAAAATACAGAAAGTGAATTTGATTTTCAGATTGTTGTCTCAGGGTCCAGAGGAAAGCGCACGTTTTGTGAGCAGCATCAGCACCTCTCGAGCCGTGCCTGCAGGAGCTGTGCTCGGTGCATGTGCTCTGACACACACCTCCCTCTGTGACAGCATCGCGCTCCTCGCCTGCAAGTGCGCGGACAGACGAGAGACCGCCTATGTGCTGCAGGTAAGTTAAATAAGTAATAAATGACTTATAGACCGGGGCTGGTTGTCAAGCTTATACGCAGTGAATATTTATTAGAATGAACCTTAATTTCTGTGTGTGTGTGTTTGTGTATATAGGACATATACTTTAAGGTCTTATAAAGAATCTATTGAGATTTTCACCATTATTGCCTACAGGAAAAATAGTATGAACAAGTAGAAACAAGTATTTTTGGGAATTGCAGTTATATATAAAATAAAAAAAAACATATCAAGCACATGTGACAACTTCCCCTGACCTGACATTAATAAAACATACTATTCAAATATTCCTGTATTTTATAAGTAGCGCCAGTGTTGGGGGTAACGCATTACAAGTAACGCTAAGTTATGTAATCAGATTACTTTTTTTTCAAGTAACTAGTAAAGTAACGCATTACTTTTTCATTTACAAGAGAATATCTGAGTTACTTTTTCAAAAAAGTAACGCAAGTTACTTTTTTTTCCAATTTATTGATTGACAGCTCTCCTGTCCCAATGTTGAGAGAAATCAGATGTTACCGTAGTTCTAAAATAAATATGAATATGCATTAATTAATCTCACTCACAAAAAAAAAACAGATTCAGTATTCCTCAAAATGAAAATAATTCAACTCAGAATATGACGCAAACCTGCAATAATTAAAGGGGTCATATGATGCGATTTAAATTTTTCCTTTCTCTTTGGAGTGTTACAAGCTCTTGGTGCATAAAGAAGATCTGTAAAGTTGCAAAGACTAAAGTCTCAAATCCAAAGAGATATTCTTTATAAAAGAACTTTTTTATTTTAATAACAAACAAGCAAGCCCTGTCCAGATTTAAAAAGTAACGCAAAAGTAACGTAATGCATTACTTTCCATAAAAAGTAACTAAGTAACGTAATTAGTTACTTTTTTATGGAGTAACGCAATATTGTAATGCATTACTTTTAAAAGTAACTTTCCCCAACATTGAGTAGCGCTAATCTAAATGTATGTCATGTTAACCCAGCTATTGCAAAAATGTAATATGAAATTTTACTTTCAATATAAGATACAAACAGCATACAAATACACTGCTAGAGAAAATCCGAATTTGTGTAAAAGCAATTTTAATGTTATAGAAATTTTTACATTACAAAGATATAGTCTTTGTGGCCACTTCACCATTTGACAGCTGTATACCTCCAATCTTGGCTATTATGAATTGTACAAATAGTTAATGTATTAAATTTCAGATATTAAGGACATGTTCTTTTGCATTGTTCAGATGGACCCATCAGTGTCCAGCAAATATCTGCAGATGATTCAGTCAGCCAGGAATGCAGAGGAGCAAAATCTAGAGGCATATATGAAGAACGGACATCTGGTTTTCAGAGCCATAAAGGATATTCCTGAAAACACAGAGCTTTTAGTTTGGTATGGGAGAGATCTAGCCAAACTGCTTGGCCTCAGCACAGAGCAAAAGAACACAAAAGGTTTGAATGCATTATATATTTATGACCACATTATATTAAATGCAGTGTTTAAGAATGAATAAATCAGTTAAGTGAATAATTCAATGACTCACTAAGACAGTCACTTGTTTTGTTCATGAATGCATCAGTGTTTTTGAACAAATTGGCTGAATGAATGATTCAGTGAATCAACCATACATGTTTCATTACCAAATGAATCAGTGTTTTTGAAATGTATTTAAAATAGTAGGCCTTTATCAATTATATTAAAAGCTGTTGTTGTTATTTTTATTTGAAACGGTAAAACAAGTGTTAGACCCATTTTAGGAAATTGTAATTACATATTTAAAAATGTAAATAAATAAAAAACATAAAAAATAAAGCACATGAATCTGTTGTATGGTGATTCAATGATTCACTCATGCTTGTTTCATTCTTGATTTTAAATCAATCAAAAATGAATGAATCAGTGTTTTGGAACAAAACTGTTAAATGAATGATTCAATGACTTGTCACCACCTACTGCCAATACATAAATGTTTCACTGTAATGTAAAATGACTTTTTATTTGATTTCTCTTTTAGGTTTAATTTGCTCTGAATGCAAACTGAGTTTTCTCTTTGAATTCCCTCTGTTGGCACACAAGAGATTTTTCTGCATAAAGAAACCTACAAGTTTCTTGAAGAAAATCACCATCCCAGAAATTCATAGTAGCAAACCTGCCACAAACTTCCACAATTCAGCACGAGAGCTGGAGAACTGCAGGAAAAACCGTCCCACAGATACAAAGAGCCCTAAAAGAAGTTGTTCTCTTGAATCAGACACAGATGAGAGTGATGGCGAACCGTCATCTTTTGACACCCATGGAGACGAAAAGGTATTAGTGAAAAGGCTTTGTGTTAATGGAGTGAATAGATGTTCCTGGGCGTCCTCCAGTGAAAAGTCTTTCAGCGAGGGCCAAAATTCTCCATGCAGCCAACCACAATACCATGACAACTGCACAACAGACCCAGACAACCAGGATGTGAAATCTAGTACAATAGTGACAAAGTCTGCGTTCACCACTAGAGTGTCAAACGATATTCAAGGTGACAAGAACAAGAAAAGCGCGTTCACGCGACCTCCTCCTCATATCCCGCTGATGTCAACCAGTCTTACCAACAACCTCATCACTAACCGGACATCTATCCTCCCACTCAACTTCCACAGCTCTGCTTTCCTAAACACAGATCTTCCAAAACATTTGGCTCTTCTTTCCAAAGATGCAAACCTTTGGCCCAAGACCTCCCATCTGCTGCATCCACACACTAATCGTCTGCAGTCGCTACTGACCCCCTCTCTGTCTTCTCTTGGTCTACCTTTCCAGAACTGGTGCGCTAAATGTAACATTTCTTTCCATTTGACATCGGGCCTGGTGCAACACATGAGGTCCCACCACAAGAGAGCGCTGTCAGATGAGAGACAGTCGAGGCACAGGGACCAGAGGCTGAAGTGTCAGATATGTAAGGAAACATTCAGAGAGCGTCATCACCTGTCACGTCACATGACCTCTCATACATAAGCTTATATATAAAAAAAGATACTGTCTCTCAAATGGTTCTCCAACATTTCCTAGAACTATCTGAATAAGCATTAATTAATTAATTAAAAAAATACTAATATTGTCATTCTCAAATTTATTTGTAATTCTCATAAACATTGTTATATACTTTTAGATTAATCAATGCCAATGCCGTCTTCAGGGAATGTGGAGAGGCATCACTTTCTAAGCATAAAAGTTAGCGTTTAAGATTTAGATTTATTAGGTATTTCTTTTATATTAAATAAATATTTGAGAAAGCGTATTCAGGTCAATCTGACAAAATTATGCCAAATTATTTGGGAAATTTTTTCAAATCCTGTTTTTGTTAGTTTTATATGACACGCTGTATTTTACTTGCGGTGCCACTTCGTAATGCACTAGATTAAAAAAAAAAAAAAAACTAAATAAATGCCATTTGAAAAAATCAATTATTGATGTCATCACCGTTTTATTGTTTAAAACTATTTTACTGTCCCTTTTATTACATAAGTATAAATATATATACACACACATATATATATATATAGTAAATATTTGTTTGATGTAACCAATAGCTTTTTAACTGTATAACAGCATTAAAATGTACATTATATTTCTATTTTTTTGTGAAATAATCCTAAAAAGCCAAACAGATTATTGGATTCATTTAAATGGTTCAAAATTTTATCTAAAGTTGATCTAAACTGGTCACATGTCGTAGTATCAATACTAGTTTGGACACTAGGTGGCGCAAGAGTACTTGTTTATTTGCTGTCAAGCTCTGCATATCACAAACTATTAACAGAACACAGAAATTCAAAAATAAAATAAAATGAAAAAAAAAAAAACCTGTACTGTACAAATGACAAAAAAATGTAGAGGTGAAAAAACGAGTGACCACCCAAAAATCAGCTTAATTCAGAGATCCTTTATAGGGAAACATATACACTGACCACATCAAACTATAATACACAAAAATATATTTTTTAATATTGTAACAAATATGTTCAGTACACAAACTATTAATACCACTTACCAAAAGCAAAAAACAAAACAATGTAATAGTAGAACAGGTCAACCAGCGACATGCTCTTAATTCACCCAGGAGATCTATAGCATATTTATAACACATTTCATTAAGGTACTTGAGGTAAATGACATGAGGATGTTTCCTTTAGCATAGTGTCACAATGAGAATCCAGCCTCAATCTCACCAATGAAACAACAGAAAAGTGTAATGATTACAAAAGTCCTTCAAAGTCTTCAGTGCCATCAGTCCTTGTGTTAGGACACGATCCCAAATTCACCGTTCACATTCTACTGAGGGACGACCTACAGCAATGAGAAACAAACAGCATATGAAATCGAGTGAGCATATACAGTAGTGGCAAGTCATTGTTGTTTAAAAAGTACAACTTAATGTCTTAAACAAGGGTTTTCAAAAAAAGCATTCAGACCTGAGTGAACGGCGCGTGTCTCTCTCCAGATTGTTTTCAGGACCTTCACTCTCATATGAAGCGAGCTGGAGCTCTGAAACACAACAAATACATTTATTCCACAAACCCCATTAATTCACCCAAAACCATTAGAAATACTGGCAACAATTTATTGTAACGTGACAGTTACATGTACTTACTATAGTAATAACAGGAAATTATACACAATTACAAGCAACTAACCGTAAACCAAACCCTGTAGTAAGTACTAGGACTGTCAAATTTTTTTTGAACTTCAAATAATCGTCGAATTTAAAATAAAAATCCACATTCTAATGCAAAAACGTTGCATTCGAATTTTAGGTGTGCGTTAAGGAGGCAGCCTTTAAGCCGCGGTCACACTACACTTTTCGTTCCATTGACTTCCATTCATACGCATGCGAATGCGTCAGACCCGAAACGCAAGCCCGTGTGAAAAGTTTTCGCATTTCGCTGCGTTCAAAATTTCAAGTTTGGTGAACTCTGGCCTGCGAATTTGCATGCTCAAAGTGTAGTGTGACCGCGGCTTTTTTATCAGTGGCGCACGAAATGCGATGACAATGTAAGCGTCGATGCATTTTAATGTTTTTGTTAGCCTATTCAGTTGAAGCCACTAGATGCGGCGCTGCTGCGTTGTTAATTACAAATATTGCGGGAAAAGAGAACATCAGTGCGGAGATCTTGTTTACGTCAAAACTGAAACCAAGCCGTTCACACAGAACGCATATTTCACGCATTTTCTAGACGGACATCTATCACAGTTGCACTCGCGTCTCGCACAAAAGAGCCGCATGTTTAGAAAGCCATGTAAAATTAATGCAAGTTCAACTTTGAAAAAACATATCACGAGACTTTATGGCGGGTTTTATCCTGAATAAACGTGCATTAGTAATATTTTGCTCGATGCGCCCTCTTGTGGCCTCAGAAGAGAAGCCAAAAGCTTTTCTTCACCCTAACTGAAATTATGCATTTTAAATTTGAATATAATTCGAATTTTGATAACATTTAATTACAAAATTCTAATTGAGTTTTTCAGCCATTTTGACAGCCCTAGTAAGTACATGTAGATAATTAATATTACTCAATACTTATTTGTAATTACACTTTATTGATGTTACCTTAAAATAAAGATGAAATATTTACTAAATTAACTAAAGTATTTATTACAGATATAGGTGACATCATTGTATTATTTGAATACTGAATTGTGATTGGTCCTTTCTTTTTGCAAAACACCTACAGCCATTTCACTATCTATTTTTCTAAGTGTAAGTAGAAAGCAGCGACGGCTCACCATCTTCACTGAACACTGGTGCGCTGATGAGATACTGCAGGGTTTTCCTGTCCCTCTCAAAAGGACAGATCACCTGCCTCCAGGACAGAAACTCGCTCACTTGCTTGGCCAACTCCCAAAATTTCTGTAAGACGAGTAAAGAAAAGCTTTTAAAGCGACTAGATAACGAAGTGATATAATATTATAGAGTGTTAAATGTCAATTTACCTCAAAATTGATGTGGCTGTTAGGCAATCTGTTGACACAGCCTTCATTCAGGAAGTAGATATCCTTTATGAACAAGCTGAAGAACGGGATAACAATCTGAAAGACAAGAACGGTGAATTCATAATAAATTCACATGCAAATCTTAAGTGTGTTACAATTAAAGTTTTGTATAAAATTACAAAATTGTACAAAATTACCATTTCTTGGCTTGTGTGTGCTGTACTAGACCTCTGAGTTGCTCCCCGCAATGCAGTGCGGTAGCTGTAGAAGTTGCTAGATGGGTCCATTTGGTGCTAAAATACCAAAACGAACAGCAAAATTAACTGTGTGCATAGAAAAACAAGCATAGTTTAAAACATCCATATACAGTGTCAGTCTAAAAGTCTGAGACTACTAGTAAGAAGACTTAAAAATGTCCTAATGTAATTCCATTTCAAATAAACATTTTTGCAAATCACAATGTCATTGTAACAAATTTGCTTATTTGTATGGTGGCAGAAAATGGGGCAGATCATTTTATCTCAATGTTTGTTTAAAAAAAAAAAAAGTTGTGTATTTCCAAGTTTAAATTACACAGTGGTTTCGCGAATCTAATTATTTACGTGAGTAGATTACAGACAAAGTCAATGAAAAGATGTGAATTTGCACGGGGCGACAAATTGGGCGTCTTCCACGCAAGTAGAAAATGTTCAACTTCAGCGGAAAATTCGCATAACACGGTGTCGAGCAAACCAATCAGCAAAGAACTTATTGACACGTCCGATTGTATCGGAATTTTTTTCCCCGCAAGCGACGCAAAAAACATCGTTCGATTAAACTAGTGAGTAACCCGATGCAAAAATTTGCTTCATGTTAGGTGTGCAGACACCATTAGACTGTTGGACCCCACTGCATATCTTTCTCTCTTCCTTACCACCAGGATGTCAAACTTGTCTGTGTTGACTTTATTCCAGGTTTTCTTCAGTCTGGATACAGGGTTCATGTTCATCCCAGCTACACAGTAAAACATTGTTAATAATGGGAAATCACTTCAATGCAAATCAAGACTATGGCTAAGAAACTGCATTTTCAACGTTGCATTTTAAAATTCATAGTTAACGACAATATAATTCAATGTGTACTCACTAATAATGGCCATTAATGAGTTGAAGTTGCCGATGTTGAAGCATTCCTGTGCCACGTCTATGAAGAACTCCAGCACTCTTGCTCTGTGTTTCTTCTTCACCGGCTGAAGACAAACCAGCAGAGGGCAGCATAGTGTCAGTGATTGCAAATCATACCGGTTACATACAGCAGTGTTCTCAAAAGGTTTTGCTTCAGGAAGCAGATTTTACATTGGAAATAAAGTAGCAAACCACCACCTTTGGATCTTTCAAAAGTAACAGAATGAACCGCACAGGCTTAGAATTATACAAGTGACAGAGCGGTTACATAACCTTTGACGTCAACAACAGATAAGATTTTTGCCTGCTAGCACTGCTTTGCTTTATTCCCAAAATAGATGAAAGGTGTGCTCACCATGCAAATTTCTGTGGCTATCAGGTAGCTCAGTCTGTTGAACCATTCAACGTAAGCCTCCAGGTTACTCACTTTTCTTTTGCTGAACAAACTCTGAGGACAAATGTTCAACTGTCATTGAAATAGTCAAGCTGCTTCTTTATCTGTGGCCATTCTGTTTCCATTTACAGTGTCTTACGTAATCTTTGACTACAGCTGTGTGACCGGCTTACCTTATGGTTGTCCGAGGGTCTTTTCTGAGCAAACGCTTGAACGAATTCTTCAGGGCCAATATAACTGAGTCTCTCCTAGAAAACATGAGAGCAGGCTTAAAGAAGCAGTTTATCTGGTAATAAAATTCTGAAAACGTACTCTCAGGTTGTCGATGTAGATGATCTTATTTCTTCTCCAGTACATATTTGGAGAAATTTAGCATTACATGACTTGCCCACCAAAGGATCCTCTGCAGTGAATGGGTGCCGTCAGAATGAGAGTCCAAACAGCTGATAATAACATCACAATAATCC